GCAAGATGCTTCGAGCAACAGTGCAGGTTTCAGAGTCGCCAGTCCTTTTCAGCCCCAAGAAATGCATGAAATGATGATTGAGGGTAAGGGTGTGCAGCTGCTTGGAAATGCAAGGAAACTTGCTGTTTGTGCATTAACTGCTACTGTCGCAGCAATTAAGACAACTATGGAGAGCGCTTCCCAGCTCGCGCAAGGGACTTCCGACGCAGTGGAAGTGGCAGGTGTAAGTTGCGTAGAGCTTGGTCTAGATGGAGATGCATGCTGCTCCTCTGTTCGGCGGGCCAGCGGTGATGAACAGCGTGCCTTGTTTGATTGGGTTGATCGTCATCAGCCCCGCTTGATTTCAATTTGGTCGCTGTTGACAAACATGCAAGAGATCATTGTTCCCAGCAGACAGATAGATGTCATCTTGAAAGGCAAATAACTCCTGATGACGATGCCCTTGCACAAAACCTTTCTTTCGTTTGCGAAAGTTCCAAGTGACAGAACCCTCAGTGCCAGACATAGGGAGGCGGGTGGTAGGAAAAAAGATATCCAATTACCAAATCGAGAAGAACCTAGAGACAGTGAGACATCAAAAAATGCAGGAAGTGATGGGCTGGCATTAGCCCAATCGCAGGAGAGCCACGCGTCATCCGTGGGCCCACAGGGGGGCACGCCCCAAATGAATCCAAATGAGAACACCTTTAAAAAGAAAAACAGCCGGCGTAAGTCAGGCGCTCAGGTCGCCCCCCTGAACATGCTGATATTGGTATCGGTTCACCACGCGCCAAAAAGGAAAGGCGCCGTGGCCGTCTGAGGCAAAGTGCGGGTGAAATGTCGCGTAAGTCGAATTGTGGGAAAAGAGCTCCGCGCATGGACGATTTGTTTGAATGTTGGCAACCGGGATAGAAGTCGCGGAAACGTAGCCGGCTGCCAACGAACGCCAAGTTTTTTTTTAGCAGCGAGGAGGCAACCGGGTAATCTAGGCCGACCCCCTCACGGCCACAGAGAACACGTGTCGAAAATGCAGCACGCGACCATGCCTGGCAGTGTCGTCAGGGCAAATAAGCCAGCTAGCAGGTACCGTTGCGGAGCGAGAGCTTAGGAAGGGATGGGCTCACAGCTGTGCTCGAGCCTACAGAAAACCCATAGGAAACGGCAACGCATCCTTCGGATCGCGTCCTTTGCAGAACATGCCCCAATCATGCCGACATGTACGCTGCGATGCGTTGCGGATGTTGTCCTGGAGTAGTCAATCCAAAGCGCAAGTTACACTTGCCTCTCTAGTGGTTAGATACAATTATGAAGATCTGCGATGAGCTTGCCAAGAGGATCTCAAGGAGACGGAACAGCATAGTCCTGTTCATCGTCAGCGGATCTGAAGTATGAATGCGACGAAACATGCTGGGGCGTACGCGGCGTACAGCACGGCCATCGCCGTACACACGCACTGGCTACGTCAGGTCCCTGTGGAGAAGGACGAGAAGGGCACAAAATGTGTAGTAGACATGCATCTTTCTACATGCGCCAGACATGTCAACAATCGAGAAGCGGCGATGCTCGCAGCTGCTACGCACGAACCCCACGGGGCAGCAGTCAAGCCCGTAGATGGGACGTCGTTTGAAATTCTCAAGAGGAGCAAAAAAGACTCGGGAAGGCCATGGCAATTTGGAAAACCCTGCAGCGTTGATCTTGAAACGTTGCTGAGCACGCCCGAGCAAGAAGTCCTTGAGGCAGCGGGGTGGAAGAAACTTTTATCACGTGCCGTTTTGATTCCAGCCGCTCAAAGTGCAGCTAGTCTTCCCCGAGCAGTGTCACGTTTGAAGACGAACAGCATGTGGGTTGCGTCCATGCTCGCAATGCTGCTTGTGAACAACTTTCTTCGACCTCGATAGCTGGCGCTGCGCACGGAAAAGCTGATCAAGTGGAGGCACGCTCAAACCAACAAGGACATGACGCGTAACACAGTCCAGCGATGCCAACCCAAGCATTGGAGGTCACGTCACGTCAGTCTGTCATGAAACCCTTCGCTACCAAAAAAATCAGGCAAAAGAACATGGGCGGTCTACTGTTTGACTGGTTCTGGGCAGAATACCATGTGCCACGACTTTCCGGGCAATTTCACATTGAGCGAGGGCAGTCCTACTACGTTTCACTTGCCCAAGTTAAATTCATCGAGAATCAAGTTCGTCAGACGCCTATGGCGACACCTATCATGGAGCCCATAGGCCTGCAGATTCCGTTGTTGGGTCTTGTTTTTTGAGGAGTACGTGTTCGAAGAAGGAGAGGCTGCGATAGGTAAGTGGGTTGGTTTGGGTATTCTGTTGCGGGGTTGGGCAGCCCCGTCCTCAAGCGGTGGAGGATGACAAGCATTTGTGCGCCCTGAAATTCCGGAAAAGTTCGCCGTGTTTAAGTAGCTTCCCCGCGCAAAGATCTCGTTTGCCAAGATGGGTCGAGCCTCCAGGGCCTCCAGGGAATGGAAGTGGATAGCGCAGGCGTTGAGGTCTTGCCAGAGAGAATCCGAATTTTGTGCCCCATGTGCTTTGACATGTGGGTGATCACACTGAAGCCCAGTTTGGTTTCTCGCGATCAGTTTGGGCCAGAATTGACGGTGAATGGAAGCGCTTGGAACAAGACGTGTAATTTTTGGGGACGGCGAATTCTCATGGGCTTGTGCCAATGGGCTTGCCGCCTCCTCTTGTAAGTATTTCCAGATATGTAAATGTAAACAGAAGGCGATGTGTTTGGAGGAGTTCATTATGGAGTAAGGAGGAAGACATACTCCTGGATTTGTGCATGGTGGTGGGGACACAGTAATGGCGTAATGGGGGAAGACATTCCTAATCCATCATGCCTCTAAAGATGCGAACCCACTTCACAAAGCTGCGCAGGAGAGAGAGAGAGAGAGAGCGGGACAGCTGGAGGCAGTGTGTTCCAGGAAAGAGGCAAAGGCAAAGTCTCGTGTTCTTCCGAGCATTATGTTTAGGAACAAAGATGTGGGGCTAGTAGCGTGGCAGCCACACCCGCCAAGACAAACGCAATCTGCCGACGAGGCTACTTGTGCTCGCATAGCCGTGCCGGAGAATTCCCAGTGCACTAATGGTGGGGCGCATCTGAACGATCATCTTCTTGCGGTAGCGATAAAGCATGGGTTGGTCCGGGGATGGCCAGTGATCACGAAACAAGCCATGTGCACAATGCCAGCGAGGCAAGGCTTCAACAGGGGGACTCGGTAAATGAAAGTCAACTGCTCTCTTGACATTTGTCTATGGGCCGAGTCTAGGGCACAACAACTTGGATAGGATACTCCAGGATGAATGGGGTTGTTGACCCAGCCCTGTTTATTCTATGTAGTCCCGCAAATTAATTGGGTGATCTCATGGTAATGCTCATTAGCGGCATCGTGGTTTGTCTTTTCGGTGGCGAGTTCACAACGGAAGCTGTTGGTCGGCTCAGGCAGCGTTTTATTTTGCCAGGAGGAGAAAGCTGGTGAAATGTCAGACATTACGTATGGGGGTCAGCATTTGTGTCGTCCAAGAATGGGTTCACAAACGGCAGGCTCCAGCCCATGGAAGTTCCTCATGCAAGAGGTAAGAAAGGCCAAGGAAGGAAGAAATGGAATTTACTGATCGATCAATGGTTGGGCAATGCCTGATTGTCTCACAATGCTGTAGCGCTCTGAAAATCAGATCCACTCTCTAAGACATATTAGTTCTGATTGCAGTGCAAAAGAGCGTTCGCGAAAAAAAGGCCAGATTATTCAATCCCGACATGACCCAGCCTTCGAAATGGATTTGTAGCTCTTATAGAGCGCATGATCTGATCAGCACGTGTCTGATTTCAGCGAGGTTTTCAAAAACCATGTTGAGTTTGTGTTTACCAAAAGAATAGAAACGACGAGCGCAACGCCTGTGTGTACAGCAGGTGGATATTGGAGGGCAAGAGGCCGAACAATGAATTCTGATCGGAACCAAGGGGAACAATCCCACTCATTCCCAGAAAATGGTTGCTGCAGGCTTTGTGGCGAAAAGTCTCACCGAGATCCGTAGCTGCCCATTGCTTTTTGTAAGTACGATACGAAGTTTGGAATGGATGATGTTTGTGCTATCGATGGTCAATGATGTCGGAACTTAATGAAAGATGACTGAAGTTTCCAGTTGATTCTGCGTTTGTTTTGAGACATTCGTGAATAAAGCTTGTGGTATGCTATGGCAAGTTGTGGTTCAGTTGTTGAATCGTATTGATGGTTTTGAACAAGTTCTCAAAAGTCAGAAGAGAAATGTACGTGTTGCAAATTACCATCAGCTTGCCCGTCTCCTGCTGACAGTGGGGTCCACGTCCCCTGGGGTGTGAGTACCTTTGCCAAAGCATCAAAGCTGGCAATTATCCTCATACCAGGCACAGATGAAGTGCACATGTCCCGCACCTGCAAAATTGGGTATTTAGAGGCCTAGAAGTTACAGACGGCGCATCTTGTTAGTTTTTTTTGCAAACGCTCATTCTGGCCCAGGCTGGGTTCCAACATTGCAATGGTTAGCGGACAGAACATCGGTATTATTGATTTGTTTCGGTGATAACGTAGGTGACGCTGGATGTGTGTGCCAGAAATGTACACTTGGGTTATACACGCTGTCCTGAGATTTTGCCTGCGGCTTCCTTACGGTGCTTGCACGACACAATGGCGCAAACCGTTACAGAATGAAATTGCGATGTATTAGTCGTGAGGCATTCCCACGTGCTGACAGACTCAGGCGGGATAACCAACAGGCTCAGGCGGCCCCAGCTTGCAGCAGCTGTGCGCATGCACGCGTAGATGCACTGCTGATGCCCGGACGAGAGCAAATCAAAAAAACAAGCGACAAGCCGTCAAGCAAGGAGCAACTTCAGCAGCCAACAGACCAGCCGCTGCAGACAAAGACGGCGGAAAATGATGGAAGGCGAGACCATGGAAGCATATTGATGCATCTTTCATGTCATTGCGTACTCCCCCCTCATGTTTTCAGATCCACCTCGCTCAGGAGCTCCAAAGTAGAGTCTACACAGGCAACTGCAGCTTCCAAACAAAGCGAGAAGCCGGAAAAGATGGTGGAGGCCTCGCAGCGCATAAGTTCCCATCCACTTGCTTTGTAGATTGGTGCCTCTATGGCTAAACATTTTTTTGCGTGACGTCATTGTGCCAAAGCAGTCAGCACGCTGAGGAAATTCAGCTTGGGTAGGATTCGAGCACAATAATTTGCATTCATGAAATGCGAGGACAACCTCTTTGGCCCTTCAAAAGCCTCACGTGGCTCCACTGCATCCCTCTTCGATGATGACGATGACGAGGACTGAAGCCTCTCATGGGTTCCCAGCAAAGCTTGCAATTCCTTACGTGAAGCGCGTACGTTGATCATCTCCTGCAAGGTCTTCTTGGCTAAGCCAAAGAAGGCTTCGTCACCAAGCAAGACGAGGCACAAGCATAGTAGCACTGCCAAGCCAAATTGTTGTTAGTGCTGCATCCTTTGTAATCCTTGTACACGCTGCCCCCTCAGCCGTTGCCAGCTCATGCAGTGCAAGGATGCAGATACAGCAACAGTTGCAAGCCAGATCTGGAAATGTTGCTACATTGCGCCCACAAGATGACATAGGGCTGGCCATGCCCTCCAGCGCGAGCCCAGCGCAAAATGCTGCAGCAAGAGAACATGCGTGGATGGGTACTTGCTCTGCATCTTGGATAAAAAAACAATGTTTGCCAGACGCTTCAATGGGCCGGGCCAAAGAAGATCCCAGGTTGGTCGTGCTTGCGCTTCTCCTTCCTTGCAGCGCTTGCTGTGGAAGACGGGTAGCCAAGTACTTTGTCGATCCCAGACGAGGCATTCTCAGCGCATTTGCTGTACAGAGTAGGACATTGACAGAGATCATGGCGCAGTGATGCCGTAAAGCTGACGCATACATGTAGGAGGAAGAGACGGCAGAACAAACTCATTTGATGTTGACAGGCTTGCACAAATATATCTTGCTCACGCTCATTTGCCTGTTCATCCCCGGGCCTTACTTTCATGAAGCTTGTCAGAATGTCCGTTAACTCCAAACTCTGTACAAAATCGCGCCCACCAGCTGCTTTCTCAGGATGGTTTGGTACAGAGCTACAAGGGCCCTATCTCGGCAACTTGGCCGCAATTTCCCAGCAAGAACATCTGCCAGATTGTCTCCATGTAGCATCAGGAAGCATATGTGCGACCGCGAGAAATGACAAAACTCCAAACAGCTCCATTTGTTGGCAAACAAGCTTTAACGACAGCAGTGCTGAGGACAGCATGCAACTGAGTAACTCCCAGTTTGCGTCGCTGTTCGTGGTCAGCTCGCTCACAGGCACCGAGGGCCAAAGATCCTGATCTTCGCTTCTTTGTGACAGCTTCACTTCTCAGTCAACACGCTGCATAGTATTCCGCACGTGCTGAGAATACAAAAACCTCTCAGATGTCTCGAGCGGTGGGCACACTGCGCCAAACCTGCTCTAAGCTGCCAGGTGTGCTGTGTTCACCCGGCAGTGACTCGGCTTTTGTCAGTTTGCCAGAAGGATCTCTGTCCTCTGGCTGAGGCTTGTTAATATCGCGCGTGGGACGAACAAGCAGCGCCATCGCAGCAAGCTGTTTGGCAGCGGTAGGCCCGGCTTCCAGTCCTCGTGAGATTCGCAGTCCACGGGTATGGGCATGAGACTTCGCAGGCGGTACATGATTTGCTCAGCTCTGATAACTTCGAGTTTTTGCTCAGAACAGCGGGAGCTGAAATCGCGCCCGACAATCAAACACACCTCCAGGCACGCAAAGCATGGTGCTGAGGCACCAATCATGCCACAGGATATCATAGGGCCAAAAGAACAAACTTGTGGGTCAATGAAAGACAGGCAGAGAACCAAACAGGAAGGTTTGGTGAAAGCTGGTAAGCCACTGCCATGCAGAGGCGCGGGAGTCTCCTGATGACCCTAGATTGTTGGCCTGCACAAGCCAAAGGGGTAAATAACCCGCAAAGGGTAGGAACGCAGGTGCGTAGCATTGTGCCATTCACAAGACAACCACCGTCTGATGCAGACTGTTTACCAGGAGAGCTGTTCTTCATCACCACCTTCGTTGCACAAGCACGAAATCAAACTCCATTTTGCTTGCTTTCATCACATGAAGCATGCGCTTCATCAACGAAACCAGTATGGGCCTCACAGCACAGCACGTAAAAGACTGGTGTGGAAACAAGACACTAGAATATGAATATGCAAAGACAGCTCAGGAAGGAAACGCTAGATCACATCACTTCGTATGGCGGCAAAGTCATGCATGTTGTATCAAAATGCGGACTTGGTTTAAATTGGTCAAGACTGGGGCGTGGAGTTTTAGGGTTGGAGCTGAGCAGAACTGCTGCACAAGCGGATTGCGTGCTTTCAGCATGAACTGTCAAAATTTTAGCTGAAGCCTTGTGTGGTCAGCATGAGCATCATTGCAAGCTGAGATTTGCCAAATCAGCACAAATCAGCACGGACAGCTGCGTGAAAGCATTCACCCTAATCTAAGAAGGCACAAACTACGAATGCTTGCCGGAGGCTCCAGCATCACCACTCTTGGATACGTATGGAAGAGCTTGGCGCTGATGCTCTTTGGAAGACTTCTTTTCTGGCTGGGCCTGAATGTGCCTCGGTTTGAAGCTTCATGTGCAAAGTACACGCCACCCTCAACCGAGCAATGGACATGTACAATGTCCATTGAAGACTTTGAGTATTTATCCTATCCATAAACCTCTGGGTATTCTGTAAGCGGCTATCGTGCGTGTGGGGCACTCATGTCACTCGCAGGTTTTGTTGATGGTGCAAACCATTCTGACCTACGATCTCTACAAAGGACCCAGCTGCTGTGAGTCAAGTGATCCTTCCATTTTACCCGCTTGGGAGACTGCTTCACTTGGCCCTCAAATCAACTTGGTTCTTAGTTACTGTCTGACAGGAAAGAGTTTAAATTGCGCGATGACCACCATCGTGCTGTCGATCCGTTTGGGAGGCAGGGGACGTAGATGAGCAGCATGCAATTCTTCCTAGGCTAAGCAGCACAGGGAGTGTTGTAGCCGTGCACCTCCCTGCAACGGAGCGGGAGATTTGTACCTCACACCTGCAGACTCGCCAGGAAGCATGTCCTATCCAATGTCTGGCCCCCTGCTGCACAGCTTCGGCGTTCTGGACTCGCTCTGGTTCTCGGAAGCTTGGTCATCTCTATGGTTCCATGCTTTGGTGTACATGTGCTCCTAAACCACAACTTCATGAAGAAACAGACCGACCAAGCCCAGGGAACAAGTGACCTAGGTTCGGTCTCTTAGGGTGCGTGCTTTTGATACACAGGAACCTATAGGCAGGTATAGAGATGTGTGTAGAAAACACATATGTATATTATATATGTGTATGTGTGTACCGCTTTAACCATTTGTTTAGTTTACCCCTTGCAGAAACTGCAAGCGTGGGATTTTGCAAATAGTCAAGCCTAAGAAAGAAGTGCTTGAGGAATTTTGTCTGACCTGGGCAACACATCTTAGGTGATGCTGGTTGTGGCTGCGTTCCTGTCCACCTTGCTGTTTGGATATTTGTTCCAATGGACTGCAACTGCCAGAGCCGTTCGCCCCATGCTGGAGCGGCATCGGGCGCCCTCGAGCATCGAGTTGAGTTTGATCCGCAAGGTCCCCCAGCTGGCTGCTGCCTTAGTTGAAAAGCTGCGGCTAGCAAATCAGCCCCCCATGCACGCAGGGGCTTTGGCCTCGAATTGCGAGAGCAACAAGAAATGAGATTAGTTCAGAAGACCATGTTGCTCCATTGCCTTCGTCACCAAGCACAAATCACAACAGGGTTCAGCTTGGCACTCAGGATATTAACAAAATAGTGCATCAGAGATGTTTCTGCAGCCTTCACTACAGCATTTGAGTAGTGTGCTTGCCATTCAAGCAAGGCAGCATTTAACTGCACAAGGAAGGTCACGAAAACTTGACCTTCGGTGGATATGCTGCCGTGTCCCGCACGTTACACCAGCTGATCCAGGCTATGTTTCATTATTACAGCCATGACGACTATGCATTGCATGGGACAGGCAGCGGCAGCAGCAGCAGCAGCAGCTGCAGACATGGCAGTTCGTGGACCCATCTTCCAACAAGAACTGAAAGAAAACAAGAGTTGAAATTGTTTGTACCATGTTAAAGCCCATCAGTGAACCCCCAGCCAGGTTCAACATAATCTGGTTGTGGCCCAATCGATTTGCACCACTTGAAGAGAGCAAAACAACCAGCATACACGTCAGTGGCTTACAGCATCCTGGCAAGCCAACATGCCAACATCACCTTGTAACATCACCGCAAGCCGTTCCCGGACAGACAAGGCATGCTGGGTAAAAACTGCAACATACTGCAACATTTGCCGGAGATCGGAATCGAAATTGCCCGAAGCTCTGCAGCACAGTCAGACTTGATGCTATGACTTGCACCTGAGGTCTTCGTGTTTTTGTCTGGCATTGCCGCTATATGGGGTGTCGTTTTTCCCTTTGAAGTGATTGGCGACGACATGCTTCAGAAAGAATTTGGCTACTCAGCTGACAACGCGGGGTTCATTATCGCTTTGGCTCCGATGATTTCAATCTTCAGCCCAGCCTTGGCACCATTCCTCGGGTCCAGCTTGACACAAAAGCTTGTCGCCTTCGGCATCCCGGCAGCCTTCAGCAAATCCTTACATGTTGCTGGTTTGCTGTGATCTCCAAACATCTGACTCTTGGGATTTGAGCTGGAGCTCAGGAACGGGCATGGTGCTCCTCGTTTTAGCATTCTTGGTGATAGCTGTGCTGAGATGGGTTGTTCTCGGCATTCTCCTCGTGGGACTTGGATACGCGGCGCTTCGGATTCACTTTATGCAGTCCTGCATGCTTGATCATGCAGAGGTGCTGACATTGCTGACACTGCCCTGTCTGAGGTATCTGTGTGTGCTTCCTACAGCACGCTTCCTTTGATAATAGCAGCAGTGGCTCCTGCTGAGCTCCAGAAGAAGATGGAAAGTCTGGCAGTGGGTATAAACCAAGCCGGTTCGGGAACGAGCATGATCATCTCGAACCTGATGATCGGCATCATCAAGGTACCGCTGCCCCCGGCATAAGATTAACAAGTTGTTCCGGAAGTGTAGCCATTTCAGATTCGAGGATTCATCGGACAATGGAGGTAAGTGTCACATGAAATCACATGAGTGCATGTCGTACCGGCAAGCCCTGGAAGGACCACGCTTCTTACAAGTGGGGGTGCGTTTACCTGGCTGCTTTGGCCTGCTGCGGCTTTGCGAGCGTGATTCGCCTCGGCTATGATGCAACTGCTGTTCTGATTGCTGTTCAGGCAAAAACTATGAGTACGGTTATCAGTTATTGTGGGTTTAATAGGCATTTTGGCTGCCCTCTTAGCGAGACAAACA